GTATGGATGATATGACTTGCCCAAACAAGAATTCTTGAACAGCAAACGATTTGTTCAGATATTCACAATCAAGAACTGGATCCTCTTTTGTATAGTCCTTGGAAAGAAAATGGAAGGGTGGAATGTCAACATGCATCTATTACTAAATTCATCCAATTCGATAGTACCCATTTTGGGAATGTCTAGTGCCAAAGTCATTGAATCTAGACTATGATGCCCGGCCTTGTACACCCCTTTCTCATTGCAGCTCAAACTCAGGCTCGATAGATGAAGAGAGTTGCCACCCTTTGCATTTTTAATTTATTTTTCATATGGACTGAAGTGGGTCATTTGTAGTTGATTATCAAAATGTCCTTCTGAAGCCGATATTTTGTAGTTGACTATCAAAATGTCCTTCAGATCCTCGCACTTTGATTATAATTCATGGATGGAAGACACAATTGTATGGTTGGTTAGGTTGTTGACAAACTTGACGATAAGGGGCATCACAGCATGAACTTTGAGAGTGAGAAAAGTTCCTTGCACCTTGGTTTGATATAAGCAGGGATGGCAATCGGGTTCAAGGTTTGGAGGCACCGAGCCTCAATTTTGAGAGCTGGCTCGAGCCGAGCTGACCCGTATTATTAATAATAATATAAAAAAGGAAAAATCTGCTGTCTGTTTGGTAGCTAAAATAGCTACCAAACAGACAGCAAGAGGTATAAAAAAAAAATCCCAGAAATCGAGCTCGGCTTGAATATGCTTTTCATTCACCACTTACATTAATATTTGAGCAAATTTTCAATAATTATTGATTTTTCGAAATTGTTTGAATTTGACGAATCATAAATCTTTAAAAAGCTCTATCAATCTACTTTCATATGGTAAAAAAGGATTTTTTTTCAAACCCAGACCTGTGTTTTGAGTTACGAAGATTTTTTGAAACTACTCAAAAGTCGTACACATCTTCAATGATCATTTTTTTTTTTTGAAATTACTAGAATTTGATGAATCATACACCACTGAGGGCTAATATTTTCTTATTATAGGATGTAGCTGGTTTTGTCAACAAACTAGTGCTGATTTATTACCTATCAAAATTATATTCATCACCAACGTCACTATTTGAGTATCTGATGACAATATAGATCAAAAAAAGCAATTTAAATGCATCAAATATTCGGATTCTTCTTTCACCCCGTTTGACCTACATTCTTTTAAAAAAATACATTTTTAAACAGTGATTTGATATTATTTTAATTACACATTTTTTAATAAAATATTATTACACACAGGGATGGATCCAGGATTGGATCCAAAAACTGGATTACAAAATTTCAAATCGGACTACTACACGAGGAAAAAAAATTTACACATAAAAAATTGATTTTTTACCAAAAAAAAAATAAAAAAACACCTTTAAAAAATGTCATTGGGCCTGAGTGGGCCCCCCAAATCCGTCTCTGATTATATGTAAATTCAATTTTTTTTTAAATATACTATTTAAAAATATATTCTAATAAAAATAATGTCACTCAAACAAGGACTTTGTTTGAAAATTTATACACCCTCAACTAACGTGAGTGTTGAGTGAATATCGGTATCCAAAATCCTATCATTTGCTGTACATGACAAGTCAAGTCTGCAAGTGGGTTGAAGTGCATATTCATTTAAGGCATTATTTGGATAATAGGACCCATCCACATAGAATTTCTGTTCATTTGTGGGGTTTCCTCTTCTTGCAAGTTTACTGCCTGGCCAATTCTTTATATAAAGATCAAGAGTTGACAGTAAATGCATAGAAATTGCTAGCTGCTTTACATTCAACATGGAGAGTGGTTCAATCTCTGTCGATGGAGAAGCCCAGCTTTGCGGCACCACCAAAACCAAACACGGTGGATGGATCACCTTCCCCTTCATTATAGGTTTCTCTCTACACTTTCATTCGGTTTTCGCTGCATCAAAAAGAAATGCACTAGTAGTTTCTTTTGAAGTAAATGAATGCGTATATGACAGAAAATATATATACACAATTAAAATTTCTTCTGACAACTGTTATTGAGTGTTTCCTTTGTGAAAGCAGCTACTTTAGCTGGGTTAACACTAGCCGGAGGAGGGTGGCTGAGCAACCTAATTGTTTACCTGATCGATCAATTCCATATAAACAGCATCGATGCTGCTCAAATAAACAACGTGGTTAGTGGCTGCACGAGTTTGTTTCCCATCGTTGGAGCAATCGTTGCCGATTCATTTCTTGGTTCTTTCGCTGTCATCTGGATTTCCTCTATCATTTCTTTGCTGGTAATAAAACAGAATCTCACCATTGCTAGAATTTCTTCTACCCTCTAGAGTTTT